TTCAGAAAAAGCTTTGTAGAATGAGAAAATGCTTTAAAGTTAACTGACATCAGTGATTGACTGCATATATGTGTACCGTCAGTATTTGTAAGATGACAAACTAATATGAAGTCACTTTTTTGCCCCTACACCACAAATGTACGTAAGCATAGATTAGTCTAGCGAACTATTAGCCAAAGTTTGGTCCGATGTACATGCATGCACACGTTTAGAACGTATTGCTTTACTTCATTTCCACATCATCTTTCATTAATATTTAAGTCTATTTTAAACATTTTACAATTCCTTGAAAAACAATCGATCTTATTTTCATCCACTCTTTTTAATATTACTGATGTGTTGCGTGTAAATACTGTGAACAAGTAAGTCAATGATTTTCAAGGAGAGTTATTCGGTTTTTAGTTAACCTCGTCTGGCATATCATGTGAATTCAGACTGTTGCTATTGAACAGCAAAAGTGATGTTAGTATCTTTTCTGGTGATATCTTTACTACAATCCCGTTTGGTTAATCAGCTTCACTTTAGTCTTCTGTCTACTTCAGAAAAACAATTCACTGGTTTGAGGTTATCCTGAGCACTAGGGTAAGAGTGAATGAATACACTGAAGATCATTACAAAGTTGATTTTCTCTTTGACTTGGATTTTAAGTGACTAAATAATCGCTTAACAAATATGATACTTCATTTACTAAACTTTCGCTGTTAACGTACTATTCAAGTCTCCATGAACCAACAGAAAGACATTAAATTATTCAGTGATAAGTTACGCATTATATATAAACGTGGTAACTAACTACTTAGCCATCCAAGTAATATGTCTGGTGCACATATTAGCTTGAGTCAGAGTAAATAATGCTGACCGTGATGGAGGAGGTTTGTGAACAAGTTCAGGAAAGATTGTTAAAGGTAACAGGTTTTTCTGCCATCAGTTTGAATTACATGTTGAAGACTTGTGGACTTCGCAGATGGACTTATCTGCAGAGTAATAGTCCTTGGTCAGTGGCATGAATGATACATGAGATATTTATTACAGGTGATTCAGTCATCTTTCTAATCATTAGTTTCTGCTATGATGTGTATTATAGTTCTTCAGATCCTCCAAAAAATTCTGAAACCCCTGAAAACCTTTACAACCAATGAACACACTTCTAAGTTTCAAGAAGTTAGACAACATCAACCTTCCCCCTGAAATAACAGCATACTGGTTAAACTGCCGCACCTCATATCAGTACGTCAAGGTAGAAAGCGACAAGATAAAAAATGGAGAAAAAAGGAAAAAAGTAATCAGGATTGGTAGAAAGTCATGTGAAAAGAAGAGAATAAGCTAAAACAAACAACGGAATGCGACATAGCGATGAACATGAAGACAATGAATGGATGCATCTGCACCACTCAGGTCGAATTTTAACTATATCGTTTGAAGTTTCTAAGGTCTAGTTCCTGTCGCTACGCGGACTCTAACCTAGAAGCCTACACTTCCTTACATGACTCAAACTAAAAGGTGAAGACTTCATGGTCTGATTCCATGTTTCAGTCTGGTTGGTTATGATCTTTTTCCTGCCTGGAACCACTTTCAAGATTGTACGTGTAGATATGCAGTGACTAAGCCTGTGTAAAAACCCAGTTGGTGAAGGTCTACAGACTCATTAGCTGATTTATCTCTTTTGACTCGTACTCTACATCTAACATCTACGTTACTGATATGATACATCCAAGATACACGGCCAATGTTGCAGAGGCATCGCTGACTGAACTCTAGAAGCATTCTTTTATCCTCCACCTTTGATAACCATGTTTTACAGTCCTAAAGTAGAACATAACGAACTGCTGCGCAATACACTTGGTACATGATACTCATTTGAATGTTTTGTCCATGCCACAACTGGCACAAGTCTGTGAAGACCAATCTGACCTTTTGTATCCCTACAGATTTTGTCGGTCACTTACTCACCAGGGCTGATTTCGCCTTTAAAGTAAGTAAGGTGGTCTATGCATCTCACGACTTCACTCCCCATTATTGCAGTAGATACTAACGTGGAAATGTTTACGAGCAACAATTTGCATTTTAGGTATCGAGAAGCGCAACTCGAATGCAGTGACTGACAAGAGAATACGAAATACGAGAACGCTACTAACACAATGAGGCACTTGAAATGGATACAAATAGCGACTGTTCTTCCTCAGAACCTTATGCTTCACTGAGCCGCGAAAATCAGGAGACAAAGACCGGCCTGTGACTGTAAGGAAGACTCTTTACTTGACAAACACATTTATATACAGTTTTCATCAACATATAAAACCACTAGTTTAGAAGTTAGTTGGTAACTTATTTTCATTTGTCAGCTGTAGGACAAAATTGTCCAGTAAGGGTTTTTCTGACCACACCGTAACATGAAACAAAGGTTGGAATACAAAACTTCTACTGTAGCGGCTGATGACTTAGAATTTCGGCTTCTATTTGGGCCTCTTCCTATCACCTTCCTCTTTAAAAAGTGTATGACTTCCCTTTTGAGTCCACTTGGAAGGGCTTTGGTCTTCTTGTCTAGCTGACCTTCTGGTAAGAATCGGCTATCTTCGTTCTGCTTCCTATGCTCCCACATGTGGTATATCAAAGGTATCAAGCATAAACTTTTGTTTCTTACTGTCTGATGTCTTTGCTGAAGGTCGTATGTGGTTTGCTTGCCTGATCCAAGTAAGTTCTACATCTACTTTGTACAGGACATTTCCTTTGCATCTAAGCACTTCCCCATGTACCCACTTTTGTGGCGAATAACAAAAACTATGTACTCAGACTTGGTGGTTTAATTTGGAAACTCGGTGTCCATCTCCATGGTGACGCTTGAACTGATTTTCCATTTTCGTATTACTCTGGCCTTGTTTCATTTTCTTAGGGTTAATTACATCTTGGACAGTTTTAACTTTTCTATTTGAGATAACTGACTCGACGCTGAAGCATTTGATGTCGTACGGTAAAGCATCAAAAAATCTTCAATATTTCCTCCGTTGTCCCTTCTTCCCTTGCCTTTAATAAAGCTCGCTTGAATGTATCCATGATACGTTCTGCCTGACCATTTGTCCTTAGGATGATATGAAGTAGCACGACTATGTTGAATACAAGACTGCTTGTAAAAGCCAGGGAACACAGATGTTGTAGACTGAGTCTCATTATCAGTACATCAAGAATACCAAAATGACAAAATAGCTGACGCAGCTGAGCCACGGTTGCACTAGAAGTTATGCACTGCATAGGTAGAACTTCTGGCCATTTAGAATATGCATCGACGCATATCAAGAAATTCGTACTATGTAATAGTCCAGAAAAATTCTTAAAAAAAGTGCTCGAGACCATGGTTTCGTTGGTAGTGTCCAAGAGCATAGTTCTGTCTTTCGTGGGTACTTTAATGCTTAGGTACATCTGTGGCATCAATGAACAACATCTTCAACATGTGCATCAATGTTGCGCCAGTATACATAACTGCGAACAATCGATTTCATCCTACCAATACCGGGATTAGACGAATGGAGTTGACGGAGAAAACAACTGCGGAGATAAGAAGGAACCACCCTCCGACTTGCAAACATTACGCAGTCGTTAACAATAGATAAGGACTGTCGTTGTTGATGTAGCTGCTTTAGTTAATGGGGATCCACATGCAGGGGCCAACCGCATGGGATAAATTTTGAAATCTGTTGCAAAACTGGATCACATATAGTTAGCGATATGAGCTCCTGTCACTGACAGTAGTTGAGTTTCGTTCACAAGAACTTCGCTTACATCATCTTCGACAGAGAGTGATGCATACTTCTAAAGTAAGTGTTCCGGTAAAGATTTATCAGATATATGAGACCCAACAATATCATGTGAAGATAACGTTATACGAGAACATATTGAATTCAATGGAACATTTAGGAGATCCCGTTTTGTGTATTCAGTCCAAACCAAGCAGGTCTAAATCACGACGATTCGTAAGAAAACATACATCATTGAATTTTCGTTCTGAAAACTGGACGTGACAGTTAGTTTCACCATCGAGTTTTAGCAGGTCTCCCGAAGCATTTCTAGCAGTGTGTTCAGTTAGCTGAATTTGTGGGCAACCAAGTGTGTGCCACGTTCTGCAAGAAATCGAGGTTATGTTAAAAGCTGTATGAATCTGTCTGGTTTTCTCGGAATAGCCGTTTTTGATCTACATTTAGATGTCTACTGGTTTTTAAGCTTAGCATCTTGGATACTATGTTTGTCAGACTGACTCGTGTGTGACTGTCACTGGAGGATTTCTCATTTCTTCAAGGCTGGAACCAGCAATGATTGAAGCCAATCAGATAGGGTCATATCTGATTTATATTTGTCTGCTGACACTTCAGTCAGGGCTTACTCGCCTTCCTTGTTTCAGATCACTTACAGCCTCTTCAAGTTTGGCAAGATTTAAAGGTCTTATGTCAGTTTTCCATTGAGGTTTTGACTGCATGGCAAGCAACCGTGAAGTAGATGTCCGATGGGCTCTGTAGTCACACAAATCTCTTTCAGATACCTTAAGAAGAAATAGCCTTCCACGGTGTGGGCAGCCAGGAAGTGTCAACCGCCCTCACAACTCTGTCAGCACTCAAGTTTCCTCAGACTGCTATCCACCTCCCACCTCATTACCTTCTAATCTTCCTTCACGTCTCTCAACTAACGATACTATATCATCTTCAATTTCTCCTAGTTCTGCAGCCTTTGACAACGATCTGAGTCCACAGAACAGCATCACTGGTCTCCTTAAACCACACTCCAAATTACATATTGAAGCCTTCAATATCCGCATCCTCCATCAAATTTGTCAACAGGCTTCGTTGGCAAAGACTCTAGCAACTCGGGGCATGGATGTATGCTGTGTTTGTGAGACATGCATACTGGACCCAAGTGTGGTTATTCATCTAACCTGTCCCTGCCAATCTGGTGAATCCGCAAAATTCACTCTCCAAGTTTCTGGAGATCCGATAGCTAGCTCTCGTGGTCTTGCAGGTGTAGGCATAGCACTAGGCAATAGGGCAGAAAACTCACTACTAAACTGGGTCCCAGTTGATAGTCGTCTCTGTGCTATTCATCTAAAAGGAATAGTGAGACTCGCCGTTGTCTCTTTGTAATCTCTGCTTACACACCCACTGACTGCAGCTCAGATGAAGTGAAGGATGAGTTCCACCGTAAACTGTCTAGCCTCCTTTCGAAAGCCAAACGTTCGGACTTGGTGGTTGTTGCAGGTGACCTCAACGCACAGGTGGGTAGACTGAGTGAGGCAGAAGGGCACTTAGGTGGCACTTCCGGAGTCCCGGCTGAACGAACAGATAACGGTGGTCGCCTACTACAACTGTGCTCAGATAACCGCCTATTTTTAGCCAGCACAAATTCCAGACATAAAGAAAGACACTGTCTGACTCGGTGTCCACCTAGCTCACTTCAGCGATGGACACAGATAGACCACATTGCTATTAGTCATCGCTGGAGAGGATCGGTGGAAGACTGCCGCTCCTTCTGGAGATCGTGTTTGAACACCGATCATGCGTTGGTCCCAGCGCGTATATACCTGCGTCTCAATGGATGTAAGAAAAATTTGGCAACAAAACCCCTGCGAATGCTGCTGGACAACGAAAACACCAAAGCCGTGTTCAGTGAGAAGTTGGTTAGGCAGTTATCGGAACAGAAGACTATCACTCATCCAGAAGAAGCTTAGTGCCATCTCCAGTCTACGGTAAAAGCAGCACTGAAGACCGTAGCCGACTCCAAAATAGTGGCCAAAAGGAGCCATTGGATATCAGCAGCTTCTTCCGAACTAATGGGTGCACGTGAACGCATAGCTGCAGGCTCTGAGTACAATGAAGAGCGAGCCCAACTTAAAAGTAGATTGAGAAAAGTCTACGCAACGACCGCGAACAGTGGTGGTCAGCGAAGGCTAAAGAGATGGAAAAGACAGCTGCGATTGGTAACAATAGAACGTTATTTATACTTATTAAGGAAATTGGGCAGAAAAGATCAACAATAGTTAGTGAGGCTATGGCGGAAAAGGACGGATCTGCGATTCACTCTCAGGGGAGACGACTGGAACGATGCACAGAACACTTCGAGAAGCAGTTTAACTGGCTTCCAGCCACCATTACGTTGCCCTTCATGCAGTCGGATCCTGAATGAGACATTGAGATACTAGAAGTCGAGAAAGCGGTAGGTAACCTGAAACGAGGAAGGGCGGCAAGACCAGACGGATTAACTCCAGAGGTATACAAGGATGGTGATGGAGTGCCCTTAGTCAAGTTAACGGAAGTGTTAGCTAGTATATGGGAATCAAGTACGGTCCCCTCTGACTGGTCTGAATAACTGATTATCCCAGTCTTCAAGAAAGGCGAGAAGTCCTCTTATGATAACCACATTGGAATCAGTCTGACGAACATAGTGTCTAAGATTCTAGGTTCTATAGTTCTTCGACGACTGAGTGGAGCTCGGGAACAACAAGCCCGAGAAAACCAGGCAGGCTTTAGACCTGGCCGCGGATGAATCGACCTAGTATTCACATTGCTCCAGGTTTTGGAACACAGACACGCTTACTGGTACCCGACACTGGCTGTATTTCTCGACCTGAAGGCGGCATTTGACTTCGTTGATCGAGAAGTCTTATGGCAATGTCTCTCACTGAAAGGTGTGCCGAGTAAGTACATCGCTTTATTGAAGGCTCTCTACTCGAACACTTGTGGGCATGTTAGGGTCTATGATGAGATGTCAGGTGAGCTGTACTCACCGAGCGGTGTCCGTCAAGGATGCCCACTGTCTCCATTCTCATTCAATTTTATCATGGATATTCTTATGGAGGTTTCCCTCTCGTTGCTGATTACACAGATGTTGACCTAATCGATGGAGAATTTTCGTTAGACCTAGAATATGCATTGTCCTGTTAGGTGAAGACACTGACAAGATGCAGAGTCTTTTGAACACTTTGAGTAGCAATTTGAGAATGTTTGGTATGCGTTTATCACCACCCAAATGCAAATTGTTCCTGCAGGATTGGTCTTCAACGGTGCCACGGCTAACAATAGAGTGTAGTGGTTGAGTGTGTCGACCACCTCACTTACCTGGGAAGTAGGATCAACCCTGGTGGGTTAGTTGCCGATGAAATCTCTGCACAGATACAAAAGGCTCGATTGGCTTTTACCAATTTACGCCACCTATGGCGCCGCCGTGATTTCCGATTGTCCATTAAGGGTCGCGTGTACTGGACCTGCACAGCAGTCCTGTCTGTTCTACTCTATGGCTGTGAAACATGGCCATTGAAGGTGGAAGACATGAGAAGGCTTCAAGTGCTTGACCACCGATGCCTTCGTAGTATAGGCCGTATTCCGTGGTATCACCACTTGAGTAATGTAGAAGTCAGGAGTAGAGTTTCAGGGAGAAGAGGTAAGTCGGTTGACGAGGTTATGAACCTTCATCGACTGAGATGGTTAGGACACGTGTTACGTATACCTAGTTACCGATTGCCTCATCACACAATGTTGGCTGAAGTAGGTCCAGGCTGGAAAAAGGCTCGAGGTGGCCAGACTAAAACATGGCACCAATGTATGAAGTATCTGACTGTTGGTTTGAGCCATGTGGGGCGATGCAGACTAGGTGGTTGGGGTCGGTGGGACAAGAGGAACCAGTGGTTGGAGACTCTAGGTGATATGACTGAGAACCGATATCCGTGGTGCAGATGTATACACACATTATCCTCACCTTAACGACGCTATACCGAATCTCACCATTTTCTCATTCTTCCTTCCTTTCTCTTAGCACTATATATTTTTTTGACTGAATTTTCTAATCTTTATTTTGCGCCTCACTGCCTTTTTACTTTATGTACTGATATGAGGTGTGGCAAGTCGGACCGTTACGCAGTAATGCCTGGTCGTAGGTTAATCTGGATGGATGGATGGAGTTTAACTGTTGCTAGAAGTGTTCTGGTCATGCTTTACCCAACTGCCCTCAGAGTAAAACGCTGACCAGTTTTCTTTTACTAAGGACTCAACAATCCCTAACTTCATTCTGGTTTCCTATTAAGTCTGTTTAACTGTTTACTGTTACCCGTTGTTGCTGTTTTTGCCATCTCCATAACTTCAATGTCCACCATTGCTCACGGTGACAGTTTAGACATTCAGTTTACACTTGAGTTGCTTCCGCTCGTAACTGTTCTAGGGATACGTCCACGTGCATCAAATAGTTCACAATGACCTGTTGAGATTCACTGATTCTTCCTAACCTCTATATGAATGGCATTTGTGATATCTAACTCTGTTTTTTAGCGGACTGTCTTACTTAGATAACTTCCTAGGAACTTTCTCGTTGAAAGCAGTCTTAACATCCACATCACCAAACTGCCTCAGGGCGGCTGTTAGCCGTAGTTTTTTATGCTCATTTAGATGCAGACATAAATGTACTTGAATCAGCCGGTGATCACTGTCTAAACATGTACCCCAGAAGAAGCGACAATCATTCACCGACCGTCTCTAGCCATAATTTACTATAATTCAGTCAATCTGTTTCCATAGCTCAGTTTACTTGAGTCAAATAGTATCTGTCTTCAAGGTCGAAATTCATGCCGGCTATAAATCACTGGCTTTAGCAGATGATCACGCTTATCCATTCGTCGACCTGGGATTCTGAATCTATTGTATATGTGCTTTTCCACCTGGCTTAACTTTTCGTCTTGTATACTGAAGTTACCTACTACAATCGCTAGACAGTTTTCATAAGATTTCACCTTCCATTTCATCTTAACTGCAATCATTGGGTGTGTAAGAAGAGGTTGCTAAAAGGAAAAAAGTAATTTCTACAGTTCTTTGTGGTTCTCATTTCACTACTAAGTTGAACAGCGTACAACCGACCGTCACCTGGGATCCAGTCGGATAGTACACTTCATCTTATAGCTATCCTTGCTTCCGAAAGACTACGAAAACTAGCTGAGAAATCTCCGAAAACTCGTGGTGTGTATTTTTCACACTTATGAAGTGATTAACGACACTTATTTCATGTATTCGAATCTCTTAAATACAGCATTCGTTCATTGTTGGAGATTCCTAAGCTTTGGGTTGTGAAGCTAGTCGTAGAATTTAATGGACGGTGTGGAGTTAACAGCGTGGTTTTGGCAATTTGGGGTCATGAGAGACATAATTACCGATAAAGGCATGATGGCATTTGGGACTTCTCGATTGCTAACACTCAATGAGGTATCTGAAAAAGAAGGGTGATAGTAAAATTGGTCTTAACAATATGAATGCTTGGTAGCTGAACCCAAAGGGTACCCAGTCAAGTTCGGTCACAGTCTTTCAAAGCGTTTTAAATCTGAAACTAATTGGGGTTCCTCTAAATTAAGAAAACCTATAACGCTGGCGCCAGAAAAACTGAAGGCCTGGGAAAGTATGTAATTTCTAAGTCCTACTTTTCTAAATCTCCCTTCCGATAAGTAAAAGTAGTATCATGTTAGAAAGTCGGTTGTGTGGGAGACACTTTACTATCGCACTCTGTACACTCAACATTATGAATTCGTCCTCATATCCTCACTATAGCACAAGTTATTTGTATAGTTTTGATTTTCGCCACTATCCAACCGACATTTGTGGAGCGAAAACAACAGCTTTAGCAGAATAGCATGGATCCATCTTATTTCATGGTTTCTCATCAGCTGCTCACAACCGAAAACAATCTTAACACCAATTTACGCAAAATGTTTGCATTTTCGAGTCAGTTTGGTGGAAAATTGTCGGCTTGATTTAAAACATTATCGATATAAAGTAATTGGAAACATATAAATTGAGTGGGTAAATATGCAGCACTAAGTTTGCCAATATAAAGAAGGATAAGACAAATATTCTAGCGTGAAAGTTGGACAAGAGGGGAAGACAAATGTATTCAAAAGATCAATAAAAGTGACACAAATGTGGGAAGAAGGTCATAAGATTTATGTTAACCAAGAGCTAATGTGAGTAGAGTTCAGAGAACTAGCTCAAGGGTGTGCAATGTAAAATAACAAAAATATGTTTGTGGTATTGTAGGACCTCAGAGAACAATAATCCCAATCAGTATAGGTCTGTGGGTGATTGTGATGGGCAAGCATGACGACCACATTTGGGTAGCAGCTATTGGTTTCATAATTTTAGTACTTATCTGCCTATCTCTATGTTTCTGTTTTTTTTTCTCAGAAATGTTTAGTTCTCAAACTTATAATAAACCATTTGGATCAGCTCCATTCCGTTCACATGATTGTTTCTTTGAAAAACTCTATTTCGCAAGCGATCGTTGTTCCAGCTTCACAGAAACTGGCCCGGTTACTATAAATGATAACTGTTGGCTTCCTTCTGACTTATTATCATCCAACACTAATGTCGATAATAATCCATACGGATTTGTATTTTTCCATCCAACCCATCAATGTTTATTAGGCCTACATCTACCAAACCCACCATTTTTAATTGCTGTATTGGTACACATTCAAGAAGCACCTTGGGCTTATCGTGTACCCAGTAGGATCTTGTTAAATATGGGTAAAACTTCACACTTTATCCGACTACTGTATTATCTGATCGTGATCGTGAAGTTCTATTTAACTGCAAAACGGATGAGGCGAGTTTCCTACAGTTGTTCACGAATGTAACACCATTCATCTATCCAGATTTTATGACAGTAGTATCTAAACAAAAATCTATAATAATGCCAGAACTGTTACTTCATGTTAACGGATTCTATGCACATCTAAATGTAATACAAAGCGAAATGGAGAGTGGTAATGCAACTGCTACCGATACTAGTGAGGAAATAATTCTTGAGCTTTTGGTAAGTCAGGAAAAATAAATATCTGTGTAATTTATTGTACCTCCCATTTTGTTGCATTTGCTTAGAACCAGCCAATCTAGATTTTGAGCTGCTAACAATCACCAATCAGCTACGTCTGTTACTTTAACGAACTTATTTTCCTCAAAAGGTGGGGATCTCTGCCACTTAGCTCTGTTTAGATCCTATGAGAGACTATTTTATGTACATCTATGATTGGGCAAATAAACTTACATCTGTATGCATGTCATGTTTTATAGTCTCTTTATATTTCTTTTGACTGAGTTTTCTTTTCTCCATCTTCCACTTCACTACCTTTTTACTTGATGTACTGATATGAGCTGTGGCAACTTGGACCGCTACACAGTAATGTATGGTTTTATGCTGATGATGATTGATCTCCTAATGCATTAACTAATTATCATAAAATAGTTACTCTGTAATCATACCCTATCCACTAAGAAGGTCTATGATTGCCGACTACTTTTCGCTTCGTAAACGTGTCATTCTTAATGAAGCACTATGATTTGCTATTCTACAACAAAAATAAATCTCCAATCAATTTGCATTAAACTATTCAACTCTCATAGTGGCGTGTAATTATGCTGGTAAAAGGTGACTTGATGTTTCTCATGAATCTCATTATTTCATACATTTCGTTTTCTTGACAAATACGAACAAAAAAGAACAAACAGATTTGCAAAATAAGATGATTTCATTTCGCTTCACGGATATTCATTGTCTGCATACAACCTAAAATTATTTGGATTTTCAAATGGATAACGGCAGCGGCAACTCTGAGATTAGTTTTCACAACCAGATGTAGTTTACCACCATGGTTCAAATACCAGGATTCCTCATACATACACATCAATGTGCATTTACACAGTCTACTACTTAAGTGAGACACATTATGAGGTTAGTGTTGCCAGTGGCTTAAAGAACTTGTTTCTGTGCGGCTGATAAAAGGAGGATTAAAACTATCCCTAGTTCCCTACAATTACTCTTAACTGACAAAAATTGGCCTGAAATCGGCCTTTTTATGGATTTAAGAGATACCTATGCACTTGCCAAACGTGGTTAGAAGTCGTCTTCTGTAAACTATTAAATCTGTTGCTATCAAGACACAAAAGCTGGAATTATGTATAAAGAGAACTGTTGCGTTCTACTGTTCTTCCGTGACCCTCTAGGGACCTGAATGCTGTATAACTCAGTCTCCAAATGATTACTTGATTGTGTCTAGTGACACATTTTGTGTGTTTTTCATTTTGATTTGGTGTTTGTTGTCGCCCTGTTGAATATTTCAAATATCTGTTTCAATTCATTTGGTCATTTATTTGCCTTATATTCATGAATTATCATCACCTTTTTAATTTGGATAAAGTAATTAGAATACGTAATTTATCTGAGTAGTGGGATATATTTGCGGCATATATTTCAAACAGTCTGTAGGAAAGACACTTTATTCAACAAAAATACATTTGTATACATCTGACTCCACCAGGTCAAAAGTCAAATGATTAATTCTGGTTGGTCAACTCTAGGATAAATTGTCCAATAAGGTCTTTCTTGATTACACAGCAACATGAAATGAAAATTTAAATACAAAAACTGCGTTAGCTTCTAATGACTTAACATGTTGATTTCCATTTGAACTGCTTCCTATTATCAGTATTTATTACGAAAACTGGAAACGGGAGTAGGACAAATATGGCTTGAAGGAACTGAGTAATAAGAAAGGTAATGAATCCACTGTAAAACATTGTTGATTAAGGTCACAGGATCGATCATTTCGTCAGTCTTTTACAATATTGTATACTTAGGTTTGTTGAAGCGCTGACCATAAGCAGATTAGGCCCCAGTTGCGCGCTCAAAAACAGCTTGTCCTTACGCTACAGCTACTCTGGCAATGCTTATCTTGTCGTATTACCAAGGCTGTCTTCAAATCTGATTGTTCTCCCTTCATTATCTTTCTTATTAAATTCCTTTGTCATATTTGTCCTTCTCCTATTTCCGTTTTTCATATTAAAATACCATGACGAGTAAATGTGTTATCAGATTGTTTGAAATGTATGGCGCATATGCATTTTTCTACATACCTTCTACCTACTTCACCTATATTCGCAAAAGGGACTAATTATTTCAAATTCTTGAAAAGAAGACTCGCTTCACACTTTTTTGTCTCGATACATATTGTTTTGGGCTTAATTTTTAAAAATCCGTTAATCCTTCTATCCACTGACCATCTTAACTCTTGTAAAATAATGTATAACCTGATTTTTAATCCCAAAAGGTTAATTAATTGTAAAATACCTGTCATTCCAGAGATTTTAACCACTTAGTGTTGGTTTATTTTTCCACGTTAAAAGTTTTGTATTTTGACGTTGGGCCTTGTGGGACTTTGACGAAAAATATTTACTCACTCAGATTTTCATGTTCTATATAGTACAGCGTACTGAGTATGACAGTAAGCGAGTGACTTGAAGAAATTGGAGGAAATAAGAATTACATATTTACGTCAAGACCAATGATAGTTTCTAGATGATTCAGTCAATAATTCTGCACACGTTGACATGAAGTCAAATCAGCAATGATTTACAGGAAGGGAGTTGTTAAGCGTTTGACGAATCACCTAAGACCATGGATAATCGAAAAACATCAAAATAACTATGATCAATACTCAGTGTATGACTCGGAAGACATAATGTAACCAATATAACGTCGAATTACTAGGATAAAGAAAGTGTAATCACAGTTTCCTTTTGTACACAAAGAGAAGGTTTAGAATATTTGATTGCAAGGTGCTTTAGCAAAGCGTAATAAACCTGGTAATTTTTTTGTTGATTACTCCGAAGGCTTCAGCTAGTTGATGATTTCACCTACGAAACCTCTGCTCCCTTTCAACTACAGATTTCTTGGGATGTGCTGATAAAATTGGATAGATGCCTTTCTGGCAAACTTCTTATTTGTTTGCTTCCACAATGGCATGTCATGTCACTTTATTCTGTATATCTGTTTGTTTCTTCAGAAATATATATATATATATATATATATATATATATATATATATATATATATATATATATATAGAAAACGAGAGAGCCGTCTATGAGGAGCTAATTGAAAAGAAATATTTCTTCGCTCACGTTGTTTGGTTTCTAAACTTTGAACAGCAAGAATTAACATTGTAGTATAACAATATGGATCCACTTCGTTATTTCGGTGGTTCTCGTCAGCTGCCTACAACCTGAGACAGTTACAATAAAAATTTCGATAATGTATTTACTGAAGTGACGATATTCTTTATTCCATATTTGTTTTCGAAATACTTCAGTTGACTGAGAACGGGACAACGAAACTGTCCAAATTGAAATAAAGTCAAAATATCACTTAATGATGTCATAAATATATGTCTTATTAGAACGAAAGTCCTCGTGAAAATTAGATAGGACTGAAAAGCAAATTCTGTGTAATTAGAACAGGAAATTGCATAATTCAATAAGTAGATAAGTTGGTCCTTATCAGAAAACAGTGTAATTCACCGTAACAAGTAGAGCTCAGTTGACTAAGATTGGGGTTTAAAGTTAATTAAAAATCTAATGACAGGATAATGATGTAATGAAATAAGTTAGAGGTTAAGAAATTAAGTTACCAGGGTAGTTGAACACAAATCTGGTTTCAGGCGTTTGATTGCAATGACTTCACTGAAACTAGGATGTGAATTGCTGTTTGCTGATTACTTTAAATGATTCCAACGCATCTGCTTGTAGTCCTGTATCCACTTAATGGTTAGTAATAGTGCACTATCGAGGATGCATGTTCCTCTCAGTATAGGCTCTTCGGGACATGTTCAAAATAACGAAGATAAGCCCTTCTTTATATTCTCCTGATGTAACTGCTCCTGCGCATACTCGTGAATTGATGCACACACTTGGAAGTAACATATATGGGGTACCTATCCATTTTGACTGTACCAGAGAGAAAGAAGTTCGAAACAGGAGAACTAGCTTTGCTGCAGTATATGTTTGGTCCTGTTATTTTCTCAATCCTACTGCATTCTCTTCTACCATATTTGTTGATGAGGCTTTGTAAGTACCCGTTTTCTTTAAGATACTTCTAGATAAGCAATAATTCCTCGTGAATTTTATTGGGTGAGCTTATTCTTCATGCTCTACAGAACAGCGTCTCAGCCAGTGCTCGTTTGTAGTTCTCTAGACAGAACCTGTTATAATAAAGGTAAAGGTCATTCGATGTGTCTTTGCGGGGGATAGGTCTTTGAAGTATACCATCAGTTCTACATTGAATGTTGACGTCCAGCAAGTCGAATTTACCATTTTCTTCATATTTCATTGTGAAGTTAGTGTTTTTATGTACACTCTTGAAGATTCCAAGCAGATGTGATGCGCGGTATAAATTCTTACACACATATCACCGACGTAGCTATATTAAGATGTTTCATCATCTAATAAGATATATGTTTATGACATCATTACGTGACATTTCCACTTTATTTCAATGCGAACAGTTTCCCTACTTTACTTCTCATTGGGCTGAAGTAGGTAAATATTTTATTGTAAATTTCCTAGGTTGTAAACTACTAACTAGAACCGCCGAAATAATACAGTGGATCTATATTATTCTGGTCTAATGTTTACTCTTGCACTTTTAAATCTGTTTGTTCGTTTTCTATTCGAAGTCTTTAGGTTACTGGTCAAATTAGTGATATCGATCATTAGTGAAGAGAATTCCAGTGAAGCAGCCACAAACTGTTTGTCGGAAAATTGGAGTGGGTAATGATCAAAGTAATAAACATTCTCGTTTTCAGCATCCCACTGTGCACCATGCCTACCCTCTGTATTTGTACTCGATATTCTATCTTCTTCTATTTCAAATCTTCACCAGTCAATTGTTATCACTATTCGTGTTTCCCGTTTTTGTGTTATACACTACTTATATATTTATGTAAGCAGCGTTCGTCATACTAGGACATCTTAGACAATAGATTGCTTCATGGTTTGCATAAACACGTTTGTTTTTCAATTATCTGGCGTAAAAAACTTACCATTTAAAAAAATATATATTTCGCAAACTGTATTGCAAGAATACTGTACCCTCCGTTCTGTTGTATTATTTTTTTCTTAGCTTCCTACATCTTCATGTGTTGTTCTGACGAAATTTCTGGACACAAGTCCTATGGAATCAATGACATTTGCGTTATCAGCTGACTACAATCCTATGTCGGATTCTCACTTGGTGTGTTCACAGTTAGGAAAAGTATGTACAGAGGCTGTGAATAGCGTATGCCATATTGATACAGGTTTTCCAAGTGGAATTTACTCAAAAACAAATTCAAATCGAAACTATTTTCCCAGTCAAAATCGTTCTAAAAGCTTCCAAACTGGAGCCATTTCCATTGAGAACACACAACCAAAGGTATTTATCATGCTTGTTGATTACTACTAACGTATGACTAGGGGATTTATTCAAATAATCTTTAAGCATCCTTCAGCTATACATCTATGGTTGGAATTCTTTTCATACAGTGTAGTGTTAATCGGGTGAATCGACTACGATATTCGGAAATGCGTGTATATTTTCTCTTCATCTATATCTTAAAAACCTTATTGTTGAGGGTATTCCTCCTTATCTCTTCCTGCCTTCTTTTCTTTTAGTGCTGCTTATAAACACAGGTTTTCCTGTCTGAATTTGCTCTGTAAAGTGTGAATCAATTAGAAATACGAGAAATATGTGATCAAATGATGCTTATCTGTAGAATTGAGGATTAATCACACTGAAGTAATAAAAAATCCCTGGGCTGAAACATAACTATGATCAAAGTAATTGAACAACTAGCTACTGCTTTTCTATCCTCGTGTGAAATGTGGCATATAGAAACTAAACTGAGACGATATATATATATATATATATATATATATATATATATATATATATATATATATATATATATATATATATACTTGAACAATAACCTTCACACTCCACTCTTCACGGTCACTGCGCTCCTTGGGAAATGGTAAGGGTGGTAAGATAACAGAAGTTGTGTTTCAACTTCGAATTATGTACAAAATACAACGATTTATACATATTTTGCACTCCATTATATATTAGTTATGTGTACATGTGATAATCTCATCTAGCAGTATATTTCTTGATTGCTTGTTATTGGAAAATTATGAATTGTATATGCACACATTTAGAAAAATTTGAATAGTTTTGGTGAAAAAGGTTGATCAAATGACTTCTGTAGACATTGGAACGATCAGTTATGATAAGGTCCACCCGAATGTTTTCATTCAAGAACTGTAATCTCAACCTATAAGCATCATGCTGTAGCAGTTATTCAACTACATTCCGATGAAAATTTACTAGATTTGTTTGAAAACTTCTATAATTCAGTTAAAAGTAGTGTTGATGTTCTGCACAACTATTTCATTTTATTACCTTCCAGATAACTGGTGTAAGTTTTGTAGCATTCTCTGGTCATGCCTCATGTTGTAGTGCAGTAATTATTGAAGATGGTGTATACATTGCTCTGACAAGATCGAAGTTTTACCAGCTAGTTAGCAGTTTAAAAGCTGGTTCTGATGTTTCAATTCAAATCCAACCTAATAGTCGTAACCGGTCAGCAGTAGTTACACAAATTCATGATGATCGTGTAGATGATGTTGCTGAAAATCAAGTGACTAATGCTGACAATGTCGCGTCTTCCATTCACATAAAATGGTTTAAAGTCTTTGACGCATTCTTATCAAGTGCTTCATTTAGCAGTACTGTTACCTCTCCTTGCTACGTAAGTTTTTGACTATATAAAGTAAACTTTGAGTTGTGTAGATTATAAATTACTGATTTGTTATTGTATATATGATCAAATGTTTCACAGTATATTTATTTGAGTGATGGATATCATGTTCATCGTTTACTCATGTTGAGAGAAATTCAACCGTTCCATAATTTTTCGTCTAGCCTAATCTGATACTCGAACCAAGAGTATCGTAATAAGTCGTCTAATTCATTCTAGAAGATATGGTCTAAAGAAGTTTTATTCTTGTAACTTCACTTTGTCGGTGAATTCTTCCGGTTCGACATAATTGTGCTTCTTTTGACACCTGATATGAATATGGACAATAAATTGTTTCCGAAACGTTATCCAATAAATGCTACTGTTTCACTGTGTGATATTTCTAATAAACAGACTGAAATGAAATTACAATCGACCATAGTGCCCAAGTTTTACTCTCATATTAATCTCTTGACACAAATTGTTATATTGGTTTTTACTTGGTATTTACGGTGTAATGATGTGTTAAGGATTTTCGTGTACAAATTGTTAAATGTCATCTTACCTTGTTAATCAGTATTTTTAAATTGACCCTATTCTTAAAGTTTATTACTAGCAGTATTGGAGTTTAGTGAAATTATGACATCGTTTACAAATTATGATTTGCTTCTTCAAAACTACGGGAAGTATCTTCTTTGAATAGGATTGTTAATTCATTTCCGGTTACTGACAAATACATGGGGATTCATTCAGATACTATTACGTAATAATATCACACTTGGTCTCAATTGGAATGATAAGCCTGTTATATTCCTTCAAATTGTATCTGTCAGCTTTAATTAGAATCCTAAAATGCTTTTTTAAATCGTTCAGCTTGATTACTGCAGGTTTATATCCACATCAACTTACATGGGTTCCTACTTTAACACATGTCACTCAGTTCAGTATCAACTCAGGATGCGGCGTTACTGTGCAGCAGTCCAAATTGCCACACCTCACATCAGCATATCAAGATGAAAGGCGCCAATATGAAAGATACAGAAATAGGGAAAAACGTAATCGAAAGTGATAGAAAGTCATTTGAAGAGAAGAGGTCAGAGAAAGCAACGAAAGTGATATGCTGATTAACATCGAGATATTGGATGTAACTTCAGCGGTGAGATCGATTCTGAGCCATATCACTTGAGGTTTCCAAGTGCCAATTTAGTTTGTCACACAGACACTGGACAACCGATAACTGCTACCTTAATGTGGTGATAGTGCCTCCGTATCAAAATGAATCGACGAGCTATGCTGGTCAAGAACTTGTAATTTTAAGGTCCTGTCATACCAGAAACGTTTGTTCGGTGGTGGTAAGACGAAAAAGCAATTACCATTACAGTAAAAATTAGTGTTATGTAGAGGTCCGAGGGCGAAGTTGCACTGCCCACTGGAAAAGGTGCGACAGTGTCAATTTTTTCCCAGTGGATAGCCACCAGTACCATGCTGATTCTGCCTTCCCTATGGGAAGGGGGTTTATGAGAGGTGGGCATTGAAAATAACACCCCCCCCAGCCCTATGGTCTTTCGCTGCTCCAGATATGGATTTGCTAGCTGGTTACAAGCTAATCGAAGCTCGACGTCAAAATATTAAAGAGGTTATGGGCAGCCAGCTTCAAACAGATGTCGCTTAGTCTCTGTACTTATGCACCACTAATAATTGAATTTGTTTTTCTGATGACTCAAGCAGAACTAGCCTTCCACAATGTGGGCGGCCAGGATTTGTTAACCACCCTAAAAACTATCAGCACTCGAGTTCTCTCAAATAATTATCAGTCTTCCACATCTTTCTCCACTTTTCTTATTCAATACTTCTGCTTCATTTTAATTTCTTCCAGCTTTACAACTCTCAATAACGATTCTGGTCTACGAAACAGTATCCCTGGTCTTTTGAAACCGCGTTCGAAACTACACAATGGGGCTTTCAATGTCCACACCCTCTATCATATCAACCAACGTACTTCACTAAAAAAACCTTGGCCTTTCTATCTATGGATCTGTGTTGTGTTTTTGAGACATGTATATAAGATCCACGTGCGGTCATTCACTTGACCCTCACCCGGCCAATATAGTGAATCTGCGGGACTCACCTTTCTTGTTTCTGGAGATTCAATAGCTAGTTTTCACAGATCTAGGTATAACGTTGAGAACCATGGCAAAGAGCGTGATTGGTACCCAGTTGATAGTTATCTGTGTGCTGTTCAACTGAATGGTGTGGTGAGGGCTGAAAAGATTAGTGAAACGCTATTGTCTCTGTATAACCTCTACGTATACACCAGCTGACCGCAGTTCGGATGATGGGAAAGATGAAATCCATGGAAAACTATCCAACCTCTCACTGAAATTCAAACCCTCAGATGTGCTTGTTATAGCAGGTGATTTCAATGCACAAATGGATAGGCTAGATCAAACAGAATGCTACTTAGGTTGTCTTTACGGAATCCTGACCGGGCAAAAACGCATGACTGTGATCACCTGCTGCAGCTGTACTCAGGCATCCATCTATTTCTGGCTAGCAGGGATTTAAGACATGAAGAGACCTTGTTGGATGTAGCATCCACCGACCTCAATTAGACGGTGGACACAGGTGGACCATATTGCTACTAGTTATAGCTGAAAACGGCTATTGGCAGATTGCTGCTTTTTCTGGTGCACGTATTTGGGAAGTGACCACCGACTGATTCAAGCACACCTATGTCTACATCTAAACAAGCATAAAAACTACAGCTGCGACACGGCTCTGAATGTGGCCGAATAGTGAGGATATTCAGGCTGGTTTCAATGAGGAGCTGCTTAGACAGTTATCGGGACAAGATAATGTCACTCTTCTGAAAGAAACCTATCTCTTATCTGTTGTCAAAACAAACTTAATGAGTGTAACTGACTCTCAGAATGATGACAGAAAGAGTAAGTGGATCTCATTCCTAGGGGCTCTGAGAACGGTTAGTAGCAAGAGCAAATCAACTGTAGACTGACCAAGAGTCTACGGAATAACCGTGAGCACTGAAGGGTAGCGAAGGATGCAGTGATAATTAACTGTAGACATTTATTTATGCTCATCAAGAAAACTGCGGCTAAAAAATCAATCACAAGTGGGACTATAGGAAGGAAGGATGGGTCTGGGATCCACTCGTATAAGAGACTACTAAAACTATGGACTGAAAACCCTAGGGAACAATCATACTGAACTCTAAGTACTATTCCGTTACCTACTATGCAGTTGGATTCTAAACGGAACATTGAGGTAGACCCTGTAACCCTTGCCGAAGTTGAAGAGACAAGAAAGGCCAGCAGAACCTGATTGAATTACTAGCTGACGTATAGAAATTAGATATGATCCTCTCTAACTGGTCTCAATTACCGATTGTCTCAGTTTCCAAAAAATTGAGAAACCCTCCAGTGATAGCCAAAAAAACGCTTGACACTATCTGTATTTCTTGACCTGAAGGCGGCATTCGACTTCATCGACCCAGAGGTTTCAGTGCATTCATTCACTGAAAGGAGTGTTGGTCAAGTAAAGCACTTCACTGAAGGCTCTGTGGGCTTATGTTGAGTTATCAGGTGAGTTGCGTACTTCGACCGGTTTCAGTCAAAGATGTCTGCTCTATCGATTCTTGTTCAATTTTATTATACACGCACTAACAGAAGTCTCCCTCCCGTCGTCTTACTTAAAATGAATTGATTTTCTCATAGCAAAACCCTTGGTTGAATTAGAATACGCAGATGAAATAGGCCTGTTAAGTGAAACACTGACAAGTCGATAAGTTATCTGGACATCTTTAGTGGGATCCAAGTGGTTGAGCATGTTAACCACTTCAGAGGTCAAATCAGCCCTGGCACACCAGTGACCCAGGAAGTCTCCGCACGAAGACAAAAGATCCAGTTGGCTTTTATCAGCTCACACCATTTATTGGGCTGCTGTGATCTCGTATTGTCTATTAGAAGCCGAGTTCACTGCGATATTTTACTTTTTGACTGTGAAACATAGCCATTTAAGTTGGAAGACATGGTAAGGATCCAAGTGTCTGATTACTCTCGCCCTCGTAGCATAGGTCACGTTTCGGGTTATCGCCACGTCAGTAACTGAGAAGTCAGGTGTGGAGTTTCAGGAAGAGTAAAAAAGTCAGTCGATGAGGTTGTGAACTTTCATCGACTTAGGTGGTTGTGACATATTTTATGCATTTCTAGTCATCATCATCAATATCAACATAGGACCAGACATTACTGCGTAACGGTCCGACTTGCCACACCTCATATCAGTATATAAAGTAAAAAGGCAGTGAGGCGCAAAATAAAGATTAGAAAATTCAGTCAAAAAAAATATATAGTGCTAAGAGGAAGGAAGGAAGAATGAGAAAATGGTGAGATTCGGTATAGCGTCGTTAAGGTGAGGATAATGTGTGTATACATCTGCACCACGGATATCGGTTCTCAGTCATATCACCTAGAGTCTCCAACCACTGGTTCCTCTTGTCCCACCGACCCCAACCACCTAGTCTGCATCGCCCCACATGGCTCAAACCAACAGTCAGATACTTCATACATTGGTGCCATGTTTTAGTCTGGCCACCTCGAGCCTTTTTCCAGCCTGGACCTACTTCAGCCAACATTGTGTGATGAGGCAATCGGTAACTAGGTATACGTAACACGTGTCCTAACCATCTCAGTCGATGAAGGTTCATAACCTCGTCAACCGACTTACCTCTTCTCCCTGAAACTCTACTCCTGACTTCTACATTACTCAAGTGGTGATACCACGGAATACGGCTATACTACGAAGGCATCGGTGGTCAAGCACTTGAAGCCTTCTCATGTCTTCCACTTTCAATGGCCATGTTTCACAGCCATAGAGTAGAACAGACAGGACTGCTGTGCAGGTCCAGTACACGCGACCCTTAATGGACAATCGGAAATCACGGCGGCGCCATAGGTGGCGTAAATTGGTAAAAGCCAATCGAGCCTTTTGTATCTGTGCAGAGATTTCATCGGCAACTAACCCACCAGGGTTGATCCTACTTCCCAGGTAAGTGAGGTGGTCGACACACTCAACCACTACACTCTATTGTTAGCCGTGGCACCGTTGAAGACCAATCCTGCAGGAACAATTTGCATTTGGGTGGTGATAAACGCATACTAAACTTTCTCAAATTGCTACTCAAAGTGTTCAGAAGGTTCACAACCTGGTCAACTGATTTACCTCTACTCCCTAAGACTCTATACCTGACTTCTGCATTACTCACGTGGTGGCACCACGGAATACGGCTTATACTACGAAGGCACCGGTGGTCAAACACTTGAAGCCTTCTCATGTCTAGTCACCGTCTGCCTCATTGCAGATATTGTTAGCTGAAGTGAGTTCAAGCCTGCAAAAGCTTAGAAGCAGCCGAACTAAAGGATAGCATCAATACATAAAGTTTTTGACTGTTGGTTTGAGCCGTGAAAGTGAATGTAAACTGCTTCTGTGTGTAGTAGAGAAATGTGAGGAAGGATTAAAATGCAAATTCTGGTGCTAGGTTTATGAGAAGCTTAACTAACTTGACTTCTGACTCAGTTGTGTGTTTGGCACTTTTCAATTACTTTTTTGGATGCCTAGATAATACTTTGTATTAGGATTCATGGTGTGACTACAGAACCTTGTTGGCATATACTTCAGGTTGGTCACAAATAGTCTTTGCGGAAGTTTCCAGTTTGAATTTTACTGTCCTTAATGCAGCTATAAAACTCACGCCATCAGCAAATGAGTGTGCTAATTTTGGAGCCAACTTGTGATAACTCCTCATTCTCTTTTCATAGAAAATGTGGTATCAGGATAATCTGCCATTCATCGCGAGAAATGCCTTTTTGCTGTTACACTCCATGCATCTAGCAGTGCAACTGGGCTTTGGGATCCACATTGTGGCGTCTCTACTACACTAAAACGGTAACTGCTTTTTTTCCCACCATTATCTGGGAAACTTTTATGGTATGGTATCATATCAAGTAATTAATGTTCACACCCTTCAAAGTGAATTACTATACTCAACCTGTTTTAGTTTACACGTAACTTTACTGAGGATGAAGGGCGTAGGTCAGTCTTTACTGTTAGATTAATACATCCTGGGTTACCGATGTTTATACTGTTGTTTACTGCATGAATTGCTTTAAATTATAGTTAAGAATTCACTTCCAAGTTTTATTGGTTATTGCATAATCTTGATTGCATCCATACTTATCCTTTAGGCGCATAGTTGGTGGTGTCAAAGTCAGCGGTGAAATGTTCAAATATTATTTCGTTGTTTTCTACTGAAATGAGTTCGCTGAAACTGAACATTTCTACTTATCTCTCGACGTATTGATAGCCAGTTGTTGTCGTTGTTTTATTTTGTTGCAGCTAAAAAATGAAGTTTAAACGTTTTCCAATTAAACTGTATCATGTTCATTCTCTAATTTCAGGCCAGTTCTCTTGGTGTGTGGGATTTAGAACCGATTAACACCTTCTTAGTACCTGTTCATTATCAGTTATCCCATTGGCTACATTTAAATGCAGGCATTATTTCGAGTGGTACCAATCATTTTTCCTCTCGACCCACTGTTGGATCAACTAATGCTCCCCTTTTACGGCTGGCATGGATTCGATTTCACATATTAAATGTCCAGGAACTAGAAATTATTGGTACACATTCTCCGAAACCATTAACGTTTGGACATTTAGCTAATGAGGTAGCTGAATGCGTAACTAGAGTAAGTTCATTCTGAAAGTATTCTCCCAGTCATGAATAGACCCATTGTTCTCTTGAACGGGTAAACTCTGTTATACAAACTTCTCGTTAGATTGTGCTATATTGCTGCAAAATTATGCTTTCAATTTTCTTCCATGATGTTGCTAATGTAGATGAAAGGTACCTTGAATTTGTAGGCTTGTATAGTGTATTTTTTGTGTAACTGTTAGTCCTAGTGTTGTAATATGTGACAAGTTTTTTTTTCATTGTCTTTAAGTTAGTGGGAGCATAGTTCACAATACTATACTGGCTTTTGAACCTAAGCCATTGAGGTGTTGCTTAAATTTTCTCTGGAAAATTGGATGAGCTTTAGAGCAATCGGTTTACATCTTCCCACCTAACTTTGTCTGTGTTTCACTGAAGGAAAGTTGGGGATAGCCAAGGCATAAAGTATATAACTTTTGGTTTGATCTATCAAAGAAAGTGGAGGCCATTTGTTTGAAGTTTATGATACAGATGAAACCAATGGTTAAAGATCTAAGATGGCATGGAACAGAACCGATCACAGTGGTACTGATGCATTCATACCTCATCTGCTTTTCTTTTTTCGTTTAGATTTTTATGAGATCCAACAACTTACCCATTTCTCTGTCCATACGATTGTTAACTTGCAACTCGATGCGCATGTAGGAAGTTTGGTAACTTGAACGGATATAAAGGTGTATCCACTTCCCCTATCATAGTTGGACAGTTCGGATTCACTGCTGTTTCGGTTCCTTAGATTTCACTCACAGGAATTCCGGACTCATTTAAATTTCAAACATGGAATGGTTCCTTTTGATCGTGATATTTCTGTATTTAACAAATTCGTTGGACAGGATGACCATTTTTACTAACCAAAGCATAGTCATGATACGTGCATATGGTGAATTTTACAAAGTGATTATATACGTTAGGTAAAGTCAAATGAACAACACTAGTCGATCTGCGTTTTGATTAATCAGAAGTACAGCAAAGATTCAAAATACCATATTTTAGGCTTTTGTGCAAGATGCAGGAGGTAGGATAATTAAAAATATTACCGAAATAAAGTCTTATCATTGTGTGCTAACTTGTCATTGTAAATTTACTCATAAAATATTAAGAATACTGGTCTCCAGACGAGAGTGACTTAAATCTGTCACATCCATATCAAGTCAGTATTGCAGTATAACCTTCTCACTCGACCATAGTATAAACTATACTTACATTATGATAAGAACTGCTATTTGTTTTACTATTATTTACATGTATATTTTTTTTTATCTCAGTCGCCATTCATTCTATGAAGTGAAATTTGACAGGTAAAAGTATTTATTCGCCTATTCAATCCAATCTTTTTCCTTGTTACATTTATAGGCTCTTCAGCCGTACCTTGTTCATCTTCGAAGCAATAGTCGTACACAGATTACTTTACGCATACAATTGCAATCACCAGATCAAGTAGGGTATCGCATGGGTGCTTCGTGTCAAGATGTGTATACACTACACAATCAATTACAGTCATCAGTTGATTTGGAAACTTCTGATCTTGAAATGAAAAAGAATGATGAGGAAATATACGCTGATGCTTTGGACGATGTACTGCTACCTGTATTATCCTCATGGATTAACTGTTTGAGATTTGTAAATCAAAAAGAAAAAGAAGTTAAATTATCTTCTCCAACAACTCCTGTTGATGATGTTGGCGGTGGTGATGGTATTAATGAGAATGACATAATTCAAATGGAGTTCGACTTTTGCATTTTAGACTGAAGTTACAATGATCATTCACTTTAGTAAACATGCATTTAAATTTAGTACTTTTGCATAATCTGTTTCCAGACCTTTCTTTTTCTTAATTACGTGGCATTTGTGTATGACTGTTTGTTATTTCTTTCTATCTCGAGAAGGATTAAAGCGAAACGAGCGACAAAAATCGAATGTATCTTTCTGCTAATCGCATTATCAAGTAAATAACACCGTATCACTGTGTGTTATAAATCAAATAAAACAATCTATTATAGAATTACATTCTATCTACCAGTTTCCAAGTTTAACGCTTACGCTGATAATCGCAGTTAAATTGTCGTACACTTATGATGATGTGTATTACTGTTTCTCACTGTGAACAGTATGTGCTTTTCCTTTTGTGCTAAGTATGTGTACATGATCTCTGTAATTTAGTTTGCTTTACCTTTGATTTTGTCACCCTACTTCATACGTTGGACAATCTGATGTTCTCTTTGTTTTGTACTTTTGACTTCAGCATTATTCACAGTTGTACTCCTTTATGAATAGACGTTTTCAGCGAACAGTTAAGCAGCTGGTGTTTTTAAGTAAATTACTAATGAAAAGTATTCTTAATCTTTTTCTGATAAATTGATTTAGAATAAAATTAGCATCAAATTTGACCAATCAGTCCCGATAGTTTGACATTGAAAAATGACTTTTGAGTGTATAAAAACACCGAAAATCCCTCCTGTTTGAAAAAGATAACGTTGCAGACACTTTAGCTGTGATCACTTGAATAGCAATTAGGATAAAAGGTGCGTTTCATTTTTTTAACTTGAAAATGTATGTATAAAATGATTCCTATTCGGTAACCAAAACGATGCTTTGCCTCTATCATTCAAAATCTGACACCTATTTGGAAGATGGTTTATTACAGTCACAATGTCTCATCTATCCAATTCACGTTATTTTATAACCATAAGACTAAGTATAACAAACAAAAAATCCCAACTGTTGTACGCCCATGTCATTTACGCACCTCCATACTAAGTTTCACCAGTCTTTCTGACTTACTAGTTACTAATGGCACTAGCAAAATGAGCTACTTTCATTATTAGCGTGATTGAGATGAGAACACCTCTTGTTTTAATGTTCTACTTTTGAATACAAATGGAGGTGTGTTTAATCAACGAAAGTTCTTTTCGACTATTTCAAAGTCAGTGTAACATGGTTGGTTTTGAAATCGAAATGAATTTAGTTACATGTTCTTTACGAAAGAATGTCGTGGAGACCTAATCTGTCTTGAATCGACTTTCCTATCCTCATAGGAAATGGACTGGTGAGAGTGCTCTTTTTATTTTCACACCATTTTGTGCATAATTCATCGTGTCTTAGGTATAGGATACCAGTCCTTAGTGGAAAATATGGTAAGTGCAGTCGACTTCATATCACTTCTCGAAAACTAAATGCTGTTTTCTTAAACAGTGTCTTCTCAATACATGCTGCTAACTGACATAGGTCTCTGACAGTTGGTCTGGCCACGTAAGCAAATGTATACTTCCACGTTGGTGTAGATAAACATGACAGCCAAGATCGATGCTTGAAGAATCCAAATGGTGTAGAACATAATCGATGACAGTGACGCAGGCACATCCACATATTTTCTTCCGATTCGTCTTTCGTTTTAATGCCTTTCATCTTTATGGGGAGTACGATAAATTGAAGCGTTACATAGTAATGTTGACATTGACTGATATGAGCAGATAGAAACCACCTTACTAAACATCAGCCCTAGGTGATAATAGTATCTACTTTGTTATCGAAAGTATTTTTGAAAGTAATTAACATATCGATGATATCGTGTGATACTGGAAACTTCCGAAATTAGTATTCATTATGGACTGACATCAGTTATAGAACCATTTAAAGGCTGGGAGCGCTAAACAGCTACTTCTTCCTAATATGGGTCTCCTCAGCAGTGCGCACCCACGACCCCGCCGGCGATCCAATCTAGAACCTTCAGGTTCCACAGCCAGCACGTTACCTCTGGACCAGAATCCAGTGACCCCCCTTTTCTAACTTCTGAGGAGTCCCATACTAGGACGAAACAATTATGCAGTGCTTCCAGATTCTCAATGGTTGTCCAACCGATGTCAGTCCGTGGTGAATACCACCATGAAACCAATAAATTCCCATAAACCTCCAAATTGAATCACGAGTAAATTTTTGGTACTGCACGAAAAATACTTGCGTGACTTTTCGAATCACTTGTTCCACTCGACTTGTTTGTATTGTTTTTTAATATTACGATCATCCGTTCAGATGTAATCCAATCTGTATGGAATTGCGTGTATTCGACGTTCACTTGCACTTCCTATGAAATCAGTGTGGTGCATTTCAGCGACTACCATGAATTCTCTGTGTTGTGCCATCAATTCCCGTGGATTTATTTATAATTGTTGTATCTGAATAGAGCAATAACGAAAATTTGAGCAGAATAACGTAGCTCCGCTATAAATTGTCCGTTTCTTTCCAGTTAATTACAACATCAAATGTCAAAATTGGAAGATTGTAGTAACGATCTAAACATTCTGTTTCTGATTTTGTAGACTTCAGAATCAAATTTGACCTGATAGAAATGAATAAGTTGATCATTGGGTAAATGGAGTGTGAAGGAAATGTGTTTTTAAACTCCCAGTTTCTTGAAGAAACGGTTCTCAGGAGGTCGTGAAACGCCTGAAATTCGTTAGAATGGATCAAACATAACATTGGTTTATTTATTTCTTTTGTAACACTCTCCACTAAGTTATTAAATATGTTATCCGGATGCAAACACGTACTCGAAGAGGGAGGGGTGGTTGAGTTTCGAAGCGTTTTCGTGCGATTTAAAAAAATATTGGTTTTTAGAGGTAAAATCTTGACACTTGGCAAACTTATGGAAACAGTAGTACCAATTCACGATTGATAGTCCATATGATGTGATCTATTAGGCTACGAAGACCGCTATTCATACTCAGCCTTCCGAAAGTATTCCCACTTCTCGGTTCAAGGTACTCAAACCAACTACTAGCTATCAATAAATATAATACATGTATCCGAACAGTTGCATATTTTGATGGAAATATCTCAGAGCAAAGTTGTTAAATAAAAAAGGTGTTTGATACCTGTATATTCCAAACCCTGAGCTGCTTACCTGTTACGTTTCGACTAAAAGTTAGACTAAACACTTTGGAGTAAATAAACTATTTCACTAGTTGAACTCCACAGCCATAGTATGCCTAACGGAGTGCTAAGTTGTATGAGAATGGTCGTCAAAGTGACATAATTCTGTACTGAAGTTTCTTCTTGACCAGTTAGGAAAGGCTTATATAGCTTCATCCACCTTTATGAAGTAATCTGTTACCAACCGTAAACGAACCAATAGATTTTGCAAACTAACTACATATTTTTATCAAAAGTATCAGAGTACATCGCTATGCTGATCTACCTAGCGTGGTGGCCTCATGGCAAACTGATCGACAGAATTCGGTCAGCACTTTGGACTAGACAACATGAATTTGGTTACTCTCCAGTGACCAAACAGTTTACTGTTCAAATATTGAATGTATTGGTGTTATTACACAAAGGGACGTGTAGAGTTCCAACTTCAAGATTGTTAGCAAATCGATATACACCTGATGTGCATGTGTAATATACCTATCGATAGTACAATAACAAAATCTATAGTACCCAGGATACGAGCTAAGTAAAGTGTTACATCATCGGACAAATTGTCAAGTTTGTTGATGCTTATTTTACTACGTAGGTATCTCATCAACGTCATGGAGATCAACATAGGTAGGTATCTGCGTATAATCTCATACTATTTTCTTTCTCACTATACATCTCTGCTCAAATGCATATTCGGTGTTCTAAACTATGGCTAGGCTTGAAAGAATTTCTGCAAATGACCATTTTGAACGATCAGGTGTGTCGTAGGTTACATTATTGCAAGAATATCACGGGTTTCGTTGTCTTTGGTCAACATAATCCACAGGTTAGGAAGAGATCTGATAAGGGATATAATCGAAACACCGTAGTAAAGAAGACTGGCTGTCTATGACCTACAAAAAACATAGTTTTGCTTTAACTAACGGACTCTAAATTTTTTCTGTGCCTGAACGTTTTTGATTGTATTTATATCCACTCATACATAGAATTCTCGTATATTTATACGTTTTTCAATGCCTTGTTTATTATTTCTTCCGACTGATAGCTGCTACCATGACGTGGTGATCATCCTTGTATATCTTAATGACCCAAAAAGCTATGCTGGTGGGGCGCTTACCAGAAATGTCTGTTGGATAGTAGGTAGTGTAAATTGATACGCGATGATAGGACTCAGGGGGTGAATTCATACTGCTGACCGCGCTGTGACAGCAGTAAGGTGCTACCCTTGGATGACCGACAGTACCGTGCTGCCTTCCCTATGGAAAGAGGGGTCGGGAAAGGTCGGCCTTAAAACTAGCACCCAGCAGAATCCCGATGCCTGCGACAGGGATTCATAGTCGGATTAGATAGCGAAAAGCCGAAATCTCAAGCATACAGAAAGGCTGTGCGTAACACGCCTCAAACACACTTCTCCTCAGCTCTGCAGTCACGCACTATCCTATCCTCTTCAGGTAAGTCAAGAAGAACTAGCCTTCTATGGTACGGAAAGCCGGGAAGTGTCAACTCCGCATACGCTTCCAACAGTACACAAGACCCAATCAAACATAACTCACTCTCTCCTCCTTTGCCTTCACCTTCTAGTACTAATATTGAGCCTCTTACATCTTCACCAACCTTCTACTCCGCGATTATTGCGAACGATCAAAGTCATCGAAACCTCATTCCCAGTCTCCGAAAATCCCACTATCGATCTTATATACGACCTTTCAAGGTCTGCACTCTATGCCAAATTGGACAGCAACCATCGCTAGCAAAACTCTGGAAACTCTAGCTATGGATTTATGCTGTCTCTGAGACACATACAGGATATAAGTGTGGTTATTAAATTGACCGTACTAGTGAATCTTCAGAATTCACCTTACGAGTATCCGGAGACCCGATGGCTAGCTCTCGTGGGACTCGTCCATGTAGACATAGCACTGAGCTGTAGGGTAAAGAGAGTGCTTTTCGTTTGGATACCATCAAAAAACTGTCTATGTGGTGCTCAACTGAATAGATCTGTGAGGACTAAGGAGGATTGTGAGACTAGGCGATGCCTATTCGTAATCCCCACCTACACACCCACTGACTGCAGTTCGAATGATGCAAAGGATAAATTTTATGAGAAGCTCTCAATTTTGTTACAGAAAACAAAACGCTCAGGTGTAGTCATAATCACAGGTGACTTTAACGCTCAAGTAAGAGCTAAGCCAATCGGAGAGGCATCTGGGAGGTATTTAGGGAATCCGCTGCCAATGAACCAACAACGGTGATCGTTTGTTGCACTTTTGCTCCGACAACCACTTGTTTCTGGCCAGCACTTACCTTAGGCATAAGAGGATACACGATCTCAAATGGCTTCCGCAGACATCAAACCACTGACAGGTCATACTGCTGTGAGCCATTGTTGGAGGAGCGCCGCTCTTTCTGGAGTATCAGTTTGGATTCCATTCACCTATTAGTACTGCCTCGTGTGTCTGCGTCTTACTGGTCTCAGGAAACAGGAGGCAGTGAGGCTCATATGTGCTCGATTGGTAGACGAGGAGGCCACGTATGCATTCAGAAAGGAGTTGGCTAAGCATTTATCTGAACGTGACAGCAATGCTCAGAAAACCTCGCGTGACATTTAGTCTGTTGTAGAAACAGCGGTAAAGACACTTGGTAACTTACACCCGAAGGTTAGCAAACGTCATTGGATTTCCGAGACGTCATACGAACTGATTGATGCGAGAAAACTGATTCCAGAGGGCTCTGACCACGAAGAAGAACAAAAGCAACTCAAACGTAAGTTGACCAAGAGCTTACGCGTTGACCATGACCAGCGGTGGGTGGCGAAAGCGAGAGAAATGGAAAAGACGTCAGCGTTGGGACACACGCAGCAATTATTTAGGCCTGTTAAGGATACCAGCAAGAAACCGAGGAAAAATGGGACACTGGTAACCTCCCAGGACAGGCGACTAGAATGTTGGGCAGAACACATTGAAACAGTTCAACTGACACTCAGCAACACTGCAGCTGCTTGACATCTAGTCTGAATGGAGCGTAGACATCGGTCCTCAACTCTCCTTGAAGTTGAGAAAGCTGTATCGAACCTAAAACGATGCGTAGCAGCTGGACCTGACAGTTCGCTCCCGACGTTTCCAACGATGGTGGCAGGAAATTGCTGACTCAGTTAACGGAGGTGCTACGTAGTGTATGGGAATCAGAATTAGTGCTGTCAGATTGGTCTACTTCACTAATCATCCCAGTCTATTAGAAAGGAGAGAAGTCTTCTGATGACAACCATAAGGGAATTAGTTTGACTATCGTGTTCAAGATCTTGGGATCTATAGTTATTCGACACCTCACTGGAGAAGAGTACAGTCAAGAAAACCAGGTTGGTTTCACAGCTGGACGAGCATGCATCGGCCGGATTTTCGCCCTCCAACAGGTCCTGGAACGCATGCGTACTTACCGGCGGCGGACACTTGCTACATATGTTGACCTGAAGGTGAGATTTGACTCTGTCAACCGTGAGGTGTTGTGACAGTGACTGGCTACTTGGACTGTACGCTAAACAGATACAAAGAATCACTTTATTCACTAAATGTGTGCCTGAGGCAGAAGTTCTTGCTTTTTAAGCAGACGTTTAAGGTATAAAACAAATTACTTAGTTATGATTTTACGCTTCAAACTTGTGTGATGGATTTCGTTTGTGAATTTCGGTGTAACTGACCAACCGTATTTCAGCCTCAAGAGCGATGCGGTGAACACAGATGACGGTAGCATAAACAATAACATAATCCGAACGGTTTTTCACAGTACTGTAAGTAGCAACATATTTTCCACCACATTGTTTTTTATTTCGTTAATATAACAAGAATGACCAAAGATCTATTGTGGTATAGCTGTGACTTAGGGCTAATTACACAACACTTACGAAGTGCATGCAGTCGGCCTTCTGTTAAAACTTTAGGACTTTGATAAATAGTAGTAAAAGCCAACGAAGTACCTTTTAAAAACGAGCTCCAGTTGGGTATTTATTACTAAAATCTTCACCATTCACAGTATTTTATTGACGCTGTTAAGATCCATTCTTTCACCAACTGAAAATTACTTATTATCACTAGTTGGAGCACGGTTAACAACAGTGATGTACATTATCACCTGATGCGACATTTTCCTGTAATAAGTTATCTTCGAGTAGGTATGAAACTTCTATGTGGTTTAAGCCTTCAGCCACGAAACAGAACCTCAGGATTACCTACTGACAGGAATTCCCTAACCGCTCATGATTAGCAGATCTAAATAGCGTTTTGTAATTTCCCTACAGTAATGTATGCGGGTTGATGAGATGCTTAGTGCAGGGACTTTCGAAGCTGAATCACTAAAGCTAACTGACGATGACTACCATAAGGTTAACTCTTTTGACATAAAACTCTGAGGATCGAGAAAATATAATTGAAATCAACTGCAGGATGTTTAGGATACCCTAACTTAATTCTCATGATACTTAAGGGTAACTGTCGCCGGCACTCATGACCGGAGTTTTACCTACGCTAAGCTCATATTAGTTAGATCTGAAAAGATGCATAGAACATCAAAATATAATTTGCAGAGATTTCCTATACTTTGGAGGTGATTTAACAATTAAAAAAGAGCAAAGGTGACAGCTCAGCTTTCTAGTCTTATTATTGAGATTAATTTCATCACTAATATCTACAATACTAAAGCTATCATGGACATTTCGATTACTAATCATAAAATAATTTATAACTAGCAACGAACTGCTATTTCAAAAACGCATAGCACATATTTGAGATAACTGGTTTCCATGCTATTTTCCAGTCACAAAATAACCACACTCGAAAAATAACCTCAGAGACAAGTTAAAATAATAAAATGTTCTGCAATAGGAAGCCAATGTCCTAGTTGACGATGCAGTAAAAACGGAGACCTGAGTGAATGCAACAATTTTTTTTGGTGAGAACGACATAGGTTTTATGTTCTGCGAATTAAGGGACCAACTAAAGGCTGAAGATGATTACAAATATTCTCATTTGTGTTTAGATAATACCAGTAAGAAATTAAATGCAGCTGTGGTATAAGTAATCGATGATAATCTCTATAAATGTAGGTATATACGTAGCAAGGCTTGGTTTTAGTACTTTTTCTAGTAAGAAGTTTAACGATTACTTCGTATAATACCTGATTAGTCTGGAGGAAACTTGTTTAGTCTATATTTGTGAAGATACCAAATGTGATATCCAAACCTAGTACTGCATTAAAAATTTCTATATACTGATGGACAATACGGTGTATAGACGAACTGTGAATTAAAACTAGATAATAAAACAAATATTGTTGGGTTATGTACATCAACTGAAGGTCAGAAGCAATGGTGTTTATGATGTGGGAACGAAATCGAAAAACCTTGTGCACATTTGTACAGTAGGCAATGAGCCACACCTATTGTATGAGAGCTAATGTCACTACTTGGTCTCCCAAACCTCAGTAGGTGGAGGCGGGATCGAACCTATGACCAAACGGTTGAAAGTCAACAACCTAAACCAATGAGCCACAACTCCACTTCCGATATGCAGATTATATGAATGGGCATAGAGACAGCATACACTGTGATTTACTGTAAGACAAACAAACTCACCAAACGATTAATAGGGAAGAATTTATATACAAATATACACACTGCTATCTTGTAACTAACAATAGGATAATAAACATTGAGTATTTACAGGGAATTTTTTTAGAGAACAGAGAATAATGATAAACAAGTCATTTGGGTTTTCGAATGATTAATGTTCATCCTTGAAGAGAATATTTAAGATAAGCCTTTAGCTGCAGTGGCTTAAAACTGTAAGAGATATGAAAAGTTACATACTAAGTGTTGACAAAAAATGTTAACTTTCCAGTCAAGATGTTAGTGAATTACACCGGTTTCCAGAACTTGTATTTGGTCGTGATGGAACAACAACTTCAAGTCCTAGACCTCGAGGAGATGAACTCTTGTTGTTTGGAGAATTTAATCTCTGTGATGGAGACGCAGACAAATTATCGTAGATAGGATGGACAGAATTGGAGTCTTCAGTACCCTCAGCATCCACAGTATATGTGTAGTTTGCAGGTTCTGATTTTACGTGTGAATGAAACTGGTTGACAGAAATAGTTGGTTGCACAAATGAAGCGTTATGTGGATTAGTCGCACTTTCTACTGCGATGTCTGTACGATAATTAGGACAGTTAAACCCTCCAGGAGAATAACCTAAGCCTTGTCCTGTGAAGGATTCGTTAAGTGCACTAGCTGATTTTATTAAGTTTTGAGTCTGCTGGATAACTGTAGCCTGAAGTCCAGATAGCATCTGACCTCGATAGTGGAAATGGGTTTTCAGGTGAGACAGAACATTACTTAAAACTGGATACCTGTTGCGAGCTATTGAAAAACGCACAGCCGAAGTACGCTCACGTTTCTCTCTGCAAAGGTGGCAATAAAATATTCCAGTAACACGCTTAAGTCCTTCAGGCGTTACTGACAATTCCATTTCCATATCAAAATCCCTACCACGCATAAGATAAGCGTTGACAAATTGCCGTGACGCTAATCTAATGGCACTGGCAGAAGAATGTTGTTTCAAGCGTTCTAGATTGATTACTTCGTTTTCATATAAACCACTTCCGCAACTTACTGGGGAGGAACTGGGCACAAAACTAGGTTGAGATGATGGAGCATTCGGAGCAACAGTCGCTGCAGATGTATTAGCTACTGGAACTGTGGCACGTGATGAAATAGGTGAGGTGCTAGTACCTGGGTGAGGGACGGAATTAGTATCAGCGGGAAAGAGTTATTTAAACCAGAAAATGTTGAATTGTTATCATTTGATGTAGGATTAGAAAATAAACTGATGCTATTATATCCGTTTCCACTAACAGCTGCAGCAGCAACTTGAAGGGCAGCAGCCATCATTACTGCTGATTCGGTGGATGATACAGTTGTTGCTTCCAGCTTTAGTGATGAATTTGGAGAATCGGAGATAGAAACTTTAGAACTCGAGCTTACTGCTGGCATCGGAGATTTTGAGTCGTGATTCCCCGCAAAAACACTATTTGTTTCACCTAAAATGACGGGTTCTGGTGATGTTAAGGAGACAGAGTGTGACACTGATGAATCTGTCTGACATGCTACATCGTTGAAGCTTTGGTCACATGAATCTGGAACAACTATTACATCTTCATCCATGACATTTTGACTGTCTGAAGATATTTGAGTACGACGATACCTTCGACGTATTTCACTTGCAGCTAGGAGGATTCCACAAGCTGCGCCGGAAGGTAATTTAAATTTTAATGGATCATTTGCGAAAATGGGTCCTAGGAAATGTTCTCTTAAAGCGGCTGACTTCATTATCGAACAAGCATGTCCTACGAATGCTTCGATTCTCTGCAGCTGATGGTCATCCAATTGGGCTACAACGTACGGTGAACAAAAACCTGCTAGCTCAAGACAGTGGACAACATATTCAGAGCAAACATAACGTGAGATCAAATCACGAAATTCTGGGTCTAGTTTGGTGAGTTTTAGAGCATCTACAGATTTTTCACCGATGTGACTGACCTCATTACGTAGAAGATAATCAGGATTGCAACCAACAAGACCGTTATCCTCATCTGTTAATTCTATAGTCTCCACATGATCTCTCAGTGATGGGAGACCACATTCCATATATGAAGCGGTTTCCAGTAGATTAATTGTATGCACAGATCGAGTTAATGGAGATACATGGGACCGTTTTCGACGATGATGATGGTGTAAAGAGCTTGCAGTATTCGATATACTTACATTATCTTTTGAATGAGTTGCATTATGATCACGTCGCTGTTCACTGCTGTTTGGATCGATATTTAAAGACTGACTAACGGTTTGATTCGATGTTCCAAATGACTCTTCCATATGTTTGAAATTTGAACTTTCAACTACGAAAATCCATTAGACGTACTTTATGGCAAGATTGAACATTGTTATTATTCGTTTATCTACAATGATAAAAGCAATTTAGAATTATGCGTATGTGAAAATAGCAGAGTCAATTTAATACTTGTAGACTGCAAAGGCTTGGAAGGATCAATCTATAAAGTCGCAACTTGTATGTCGAAACGCTCAGTAGTACTAGTGAAGAACTTCAGAAGTGCTTTCCTAAGAGAAACTACTTATAAATATTACCGTCATGGTATCGTCTACCAATTCCCCAATCGAATATCAAAATATTTGGATTCTCTGCATTGGATCAGTTACACTATTAAACTCTGCGAATAAACGAACATAATGTGAACGAAAACAAACATATCTTTGGAACTAATCTTTTCTCTTATACAACCAGTAAGCACATAAATTCGTAGGAAATTTTCAGTTTATGTCCAAGTCCTTAAATAGCCACAGCCATCTCCCCGAGTAGCAGTAATGTGATGCACCCTTTCACTGATAACAGATTTAATTACAATTACCACTAACTGCTAGTTGCACTAATTTAGTGACAAAGACTGCCAATCTACATAAATTTTCTAGAATGAAGTTAGCTGTAGTAACCGCAGCATAGTATGAAGATATTATTTTTATTCCTCGATCATCTACTGTGACCACTGCAGAATACGTCTAAGTTTACAATTATTCGATTCAGTTCAGTCAGAGCAATCGTGAGATATTATGAACCACCATACGATAGGCGTAGCTCATAATCTACTACATAAACCTATACTACATTACGCTGTTGTATTTATTACAATTATAATCATTTGATGCCTAGCTACAAATTGGGAAGAACATGGCTGACAGGCAATTTTACGGACTGGATAGAAGCGTAGAGTAGACCTTTAATCGACATGGGGCCCTGAAATATATTTGGCTACAAGTACTACAAACTAGCTGCTTCCTTAAAAATATGAAGGCGTTCAATTCTATCCAACGACATTATACTACTCTCCTGAAGAAACAGTACAAAGTGGATGTCAAGAGACTGAATAAAATAATACGACGATAATATAGATAAACTAAGGAGAGACACAACAGAAAACTTTGGACAACAAGAAGAAATAACACTAATTATACTTAAGTGTTTGCAAGTCCTTTGTGACTTTTGGAAAACTGAAAAAACACATAAGGAAGCTAAAATATGACCGCCATCAGTTTCGATTCAGAGTTAAATCCGATAATACTCATAGCTACTTAGTCTTATGACCTACTGAAATCCACCCATTAGTGAATCGGTTACTATCAATATGAAACCTAGCCTGACTGTGACAGTTTAATTCGCCACAACTCAACAACATAGCAAGAAGAAAGAGAAGCATAACATAAACGCAACCAAAAGCTGTAAAACATCATATGAAAAAAACAAAAGGAGATGAGGCAAACAACAAAATGTGACATTAAAATTACGATAATCTGCGAATGCATCTGCACCACTGATATGGATTTTGAACCATATCATTTAAAGTTGCCAAGCACAAATTTCAGTTGTCATATGCATTTTAGCTTGAAAGTTTACATTCGTCTGCAAGGTTTAGGATAATAATCAGAGACTTTATAAACTGATACCACACTTTATTCTAAAGACCTTCAACCTTCTCTCAGTCTTAACCGAATTCAGCTAATACTGACTGTCCAGGAAGACGGCGAATAGTCATACGTAACACATCCCAGTCACTTCAATCAGTTAAAGCTCAGAAAATCATCCAATAACTGCCTTAGACTATATGCCTAACCTCTATGTTACTAACTTGGTTTCATAACACGTGGCTAACGTTATGAAAGCAACAGGGGTTAAACTTCTGAAACCACCTTAAGTCCTCCACTTTTAAATGCCGTGTTTAACAGTGATAGGGTAGTTAACTAATGTGCTATACATTCGGCAATTGAATATTTTATTGATGTCACGAATAGGGTAAGTTAGCGATAATCAGCTTATCCTTCAAAAAAGTGTGCAAGTTATCATCATTTTCACTGAATAAATGTGAACAATATAGAATACAATAGCAGTGAGCACTACCGTGCACTAAACAATACAACCAAATGTTTGTGTTTGTTGGATATCTTAGAAACAGTTTACTACAGGCCAGATAAGTTTTCAGAGTCGAATAATTCCTGATTATCAAAATCACACTATGCTATTTAAGGTATTTGCGGGAAACGGAAGTGTGAATTAACTTACTTCACACCACCTGCATCGTCTCCACATAGACAGACGTAGAAACTACTAAGGGTTTCTTTTAAAGCGACTATCATGAGGTCATACCTGCTTCGAGAGGTTGGAAATCTCAGGATGGCCTGACCAAGATACGGCTTTATTCGATGGAACCGCTGGTAATTTATATGGACCACGTAGGGAGGTGCAGGGGTTTACGAAACCAGAGGAATAAATGGATGAGGACTCAGCAAAATGGCTGTAAAATATGGTAACTTAAGCTGATGCACTTCTGTGTGACGTTCTAAGTTGATCTTCCGTCTGAAATATCACTATTTAACAATAGGATGAAACAGTCTCGGACCTAAGTGAACTTCTTAAATACTGCCATAAAGTTTAGAAGTAGAATTCATCATGGACTGACATCAGTTGGGGAACCATTGAAAATCTTGGAGCACTGGACAGCTGTTTTGTCCTAGTATGGGACTCCCCATTCCTCTCAAAACACACTTCCATAAAGTGTTAACCAATATTTGTATTAAGTTACGCATAAGCGAAGGTTGTGATAATTCACAAGTCACGAATCGTAAAACATCAGGTACTGAAGTCGAAGACCACAGCTTATAAACTGGTTTTAGCATACCATCAACTTTTTACTGATCACGACAGAATATTGATGTTTTTCGAATTTTAAAAATAACTGGTAAAACAGAAAAGTACAACTAATTAATTACACAAAAACTACCATTCCCATGGTTTGAAGTAAGTGAAGAGTTTACCTTATTGTTCTCAAGAGACTTTTCATTAACAAGAACCTCTTAGTTCAAATAACTATTCATCACAAACAGGTCTCACAACCGACGAAACATATCGTAATACATTCACAGTTCCTGTGTAAGTTCAAGGAAATGTTTCACTGTAGGTTTTAGAATACAGTGAAACAAATTTGAGTAATACGCGAGAGCTGAAATAGATTTTTCTCGAATAGTAGCTTTGGGGAGAAAATGACATTTCTACTTGGGTTGCTGTCGGTTGTATCTAGAACAACTAAGTGAGACTAGAGGAAGTGATTACCACACCATAGAACTCACCTGCCTATAAAACCAGTCACTAAACTCTCAAAGAGAAGCAGTAGAACATCGCTTGGTGTCGATGATCATTATGCCATCGATGGGTCAATCAATTTCTTATCTAAATGACTCTTTCGACGGCACTTGTGATTTCAGTTACAAATACACATGAACACATCACTACTATTTTTAAATTTATCCACGATATCTTGCACGAAGTGGATTAGTCGTATGTAACATTCAGGTTGGATTCAAACCAAACAATAATTACTTGAAGCCAACCTTAATGATTTAAATGAGGCGCATCCAATATCCAATATTGATAGTGCGAGCGTAGAAAACTTGTAGTTTTTGATCTCTCGCGTCTAGTTCTTAGGGCTTGGTTCCAGTTGTTCGGTCCACTACTGCAGTGGACGAGGAAATCCCCTCTGCTTTCTTGCTTTTAGCTTCGGTGAGGTGGATGTTTTGTGGGTTAGTAGGTTGTAATTTGTAGAGTGATTAGGGAGCTACGGGTTGCTGGGAAGCTTAGAGAACTACTGTGACTCCTGTCTGTGTAGGTACCTGAAAGAGAATAGTAAGGTAGTGGTAAAGTAATGAAGAGAGAATAAAGAAAATAAAAAACAAAAATAAAAAATTATAAGAAAAGAGAGGGAAAAAATAATAATAATATAGTGAAGAGAAAAGGGAAGGAGAAGAAAAGGAGGGGTGAAAAGAGAACGAAAGGAAAGCATTTGGAATTGCCCGAATGGTCGCGTGGGCTTGGTTCCTACAGAAGAATTAGTAGGTAATGTGGGTGTATTAATGAGGTAGTCCCTCATGAGCTCATAGTTGGCCTGCTGTAGCAAGGGAAGGTGTTGGGCGTCTCCAGTTGCAGGGCCTCCCCAGTAATCATGGAGAAGGTGATTACAGCGTGGTCACTGAGGCCAAGGGGAGGTTGGATGCAAACGCCCTCAATGAGAAGTCCATCGTTCGTCAGAACGTAGTCAAGGCGCGACGCGTTTCCGTTTGGTCCCCAGCGTGTAGCATCACCCACTTTCTCTGAGAGGCCAGCAGTCTTAATTGCATCCTTCAGCTTCTGATTGAAGGATCTGATGCGTCTCCCTTCAGTCTCGAAGAGGATGGACGGGGTGTTGAAGTCGCCGGCGATGACTACGGAATCGTAATTTGCAGAGGAAGTCGTTAAGATCGCCTTGATGACCATTTCCTTATGTGTAGGGGAGCTGGTGGGGGACCGATATATGACTCCGAGCAGGTATTTGGTACGGTGGAGAGTGAAGTAGCACCATAGAGACTCTGAGAGCTGGGTTAAGGCCGTATCGCTAACCATCCTTGCCTTTAAACAGGGGTTTACGTAGATAGCCACTCCCCCTCCTGCTCTATGTTCCCTGTCCCTGCGGAAGAGTTCCATGTCAGTAACATGCATCTCTTCGTCGGAGATGTCCGATGAGAGCCAGGATTCAGTGATGAATATGATGTCGGAGTGCTGATGTTCACGCAGTCCTCATTTCTGCTACCTTCCCTCTTAGCCCCTAACGTTGCTGTACATACATATTAGAGTGTGCCTGATGAAAGGAGAGGTCTGGATGTGTATTTTCGCAGGATGAACGCTTACGTGGTTGGGTCTAGCCTCGCCAGTCCTCACAGGACTGGCATTGTTCCGTTTTTTGTGTTTTGTTCCTAACTTGGGTGGGGGCTGTTGCAGTGGTGGCTTCTTTACTTGTTGTATCTAA